TATATATATATTTGGGTATCGGGTTGTGTGGCGCAACAGAAAAGATATGTTAAGACTGTTTTTAGCTGTTGTTTCAATATTCGGATTGTTACTGAGAAATTGAGCATAGATGTTATACGGGGCCCTCTGTTGTGTATTTATTGTTCTGGTTTATATGTCAAATGTTGTTTCCTCTATTTCTGTTGTTTTTACTATACTTGTACAAGTTTATAGTGGGTGCCTTGTTATAGCCTCGTCGGTACTTCGTCGAGGTTAGACTCGGTATTTACAAAGGACATGGGGTCGGTTGTACTCATACTATACTTCTACACTTCTTGTGCAGATTCTGGTGTTGGTCCCAAAAGCGGTTAGTGGAGGCTCGCGCATACTATCTTTTCCTGAAGTTCCCTTCTTATTTCTTTTGTATTATTTATCTAATTCAGACAGTTGTATTTTCATTTCAAACCTTGATTGTAGTAATTTGTTTTAGTAGCTCACGTACTTGTGATACTTGATTTCGGGATTAGACTAGACTCGTATTCGGAGTTTATTCTTTATATATTGATGTTTTTAGCTTTACCTTCTTATGAATTTGTTTTATTTAAAAGAGTTTCAAATGAATAGTTGTATACTAATGTTGGTTTGCCTAGCAAATGGACGTTAGCTGCCATCACGATCCTGAGATTGGAATTTTGGGTCGTGGCTGAAGCAAATTCCCATTAGAACACAAGCAACCGTATCACTCTCTCCCCCATCTCTCTGAATCTTTGTGTGTAAGATATTGCGAAGGAAAAACTTGAATTAATAAAAGAGCGTGTTATTCTATTTGGCTGATATCCTAAATATTGTCTTGGTGATTTACTGCACTTTTCATCTTAACTTTGATACTATTGTCACAGTTCATACTAGCTTGCATAGGGTTTTGGATCATTTTTGATTCACGTGCATTTAACCCCTTTCTCTTTATCCACACTATTGTTAAAACATACAAGCAATTATTCTGGTAAACAGACATGGCTTACACTTTTGCTGAAATTACTCTGCTCAACTTCTTTTTATTGGAGAAATAAGAGAGAGACAATAGAGAAGATCAGAAAAAAATGAAAAGGAGAGAGACAAAGGAGAAGGAGCGTTTGTTTATTGGAAAAATATTAAAAAATGAAAAAATTGTGCAAATAACACGTGTTAGCGTGTGTATATACCGCCAAAACAAACTCTGGTAATAGCTTTTTAGGAGGGTTTTAATATCACTTCAACCGAAGTTTTGGGATAAATTTAGGGCACAATTTATGTATTATGCATTTTATAAATGGTGTAATTATGAATCTTTCCCATTTAAATAGGAGTGAACGATGCAAATAATCTGGGAAAGGTTCATTCGGGGACATCCAATAAAACTATAAAGAGAAAAGTTGGAGAGATAACGTAAAGTGATGAAGTGAAGAATTGCAATTCGTAGATGTAGATTTTTCAAAGAGCAATGTGATTCTAAAAAGTGGTTCCGGTTTGACATTATATGCCTTTTCCTATTCAAATTGATCTATCTTGAGAGAGGGATTAGCAAATTACAGAATTTCCTTTTACTGACTTGTAGCCCGCAAGTTGTGGGGTCACAACTAAAATGAAAGGGCCACCTTAAGCTACCTTTGAAATATTGGCAAAACAGTAATTTAGTCGGTACTGGACATAGTGTAATTTCCTCAAAAGACATTGAAATATTGCGTGTTTGTCGTGTTAAAATAGCATGGGCTAGCCAGTTTTCGGACTGGTCATTCAAAAATAGTCAGTGTTTGCAAAGTCATCGAATAGCCACTATTTTGCTGCAACAGGAACTGGTCCAGTATAATATACTGGTGATCGGTGCACCTATGTATGAACTTCCAGCATATTATACTGGAATTCCAACCCGCGAAAAGTTCCAACATAATATACTGGAGATTGGAGCACTTGTATATGAACTTCCAGTATATTATACTGGACCGGTATATTATACTGGAACTCCAGTATATTATGCTGGAGTTCCAGTATACTTATGCTGGAACTCCATTATAATATGTTGGAGTTCCAGTATACTTATGCTGGAACTCCATTATAATATGCTGGAGTTTCAGTATACTTATGCTGGAACTCCAGTATATTATGCTGGAGTATTATGCTGGTATCCCGCACTACAGTCCAAATCAATATAAATATACATGTGCACGGCATCACCCTTCGTGCTTTATCACTCTTCCTCACCCAAACAGTAGAAACAACAATATCCCGACAAGGGAATCAATCAATAGAAACAATAACATCCCAGCAAGGGAATCAACGATAGAAACAATAACATCCCAGTAAGGGAGTCAACAATAGAAACAATAACGTCCCGGCAAGGGAATCATCAATAGAAACGGTAACATCCCGGCAAGGGAGTCAACAATAGAAATAATAACGTCCCAGCAAGGGAGTCACCAATACATAATAAGGGTCACGGAAAAACCAAGAAGTACGATAACCTCAACAAAACAACAAGACATAATAAGCACGTGATAGCTACACCGGTAACCATAATAATTGGACATGTAACATATTTGCACGAAATCATAGAGGAACTTACAATCAAGGAGTATCAAAACAATAAGGAAGGCAATCACTTCAATTACGGCAATTAAGGGTCAATGTAACACGTAGAATTAGAGGAAAGCTAATAATATCATATGGAGCATATAGAGGAAATTTAAGAAATTAGGAAAACCAATTATAACGGGTTACTTTCCACATAATAAACATAAGGACCTAAGAACCCTAGAGCAAATTTCCCGCAGATAAGTCTGAGCACACACTCGTCACCTCGTATGCATGGACTACAATTAGTATAGAAGACTCAAATCCTAAGGGGAAGTCCCCCAGACAAGGTTAGGCAAGATACTTACCTCAATCCGGCCAATTCAATGCTCAATTTAGCTTTTCCTTTACCAATTTATCTACGCTCGACTCTATTTAGCCAAAAACGACTTAAATACATCTAACAATGCAAGAGAAAATAATTTCAATTAACAAAACTATGATTCTTATACAATTTGCAAAAAGTCAACTCCCTGAGCCCGCACCTCGGAACCCGATAAAATTTACAAAAATCGAACACCCATTCCGCTACGAGTTCACCCATACAAAAATTATCTAATTCCAATACCATTTGGTCATTCAAATCATCATTTTATATTTTTGAAAGATTTCACAATTTTTCCCAAATTTTCCTTTAGATTCTCATGAATTTGATGTTAAATTTAAGATATAATCACAAAATATAGTTGGAAATTGATTAGAGACACTTACCCAAAATTTGGAGAAGTTTAGGTCTTTGGAAAATCGCCCATGGAGTTTTAGGGTTTGAGAAAATTAAAAAATGGGTGAAAATCTCGTCAAAAATCTCACTTATTACGAACAAAGTAGGGCTGGTAGAAGTGGCATTTGCGAACTGGGCATCGTAAATGCGATGAAAAAGTTCGCATTTGCGAACACACCAGAAACTAACAATTTTTTCCGACGTGAAAATGAGCATAACTTCCTCATACGATGTCCAAATTCGATGATTCTTTTTCTTATGGCTCCGTAATTTCGATACAGATCTAATGGTTCAAACAAAACTGAATTTGGATCTCATTTTCTCAACGTGGTATTAGTTTTGCTTGAAGAAACGATGATAAAGCATCCAAAAACAAGCACAACATAGCCTAAACCTATCTGAAACTCACCCAAGCCCTCAGGGATCCAAACCAAACATACACGCAAGTCTAAATATATCATACGGACTTGTTAATGCAATCAAATCATCAAAATAACATCAAAAACTATGAATTTAACCTCAAAACTCATGATTATCTAACTTTTCAACCGGACGTCCAAATCACGTCAAATCAATTTCGATTCTCACCAAATTTCACAGATAGGACTTAAATATCATAACAAGCTTGTACCGGACTCCGAAACTAAAATACGATCCCGATACCAACGAGTTCAAACATTAATTCATTTCTTTATTTTCTTTAAAGACCAGCACAATAATTTTCTTCAAAAATTGTTTTCTAAGGCTAGGGACCTCAGAATTCAATTCCGGGCATACACCCAAGTCTCATATTTTACCGCGTACCTTCCGGATCGTTGGAACACAAATCCGGGTCCGTTTACCAAAAATATTGACCAAAGTCAACTAAAAACCAAATTTAACTCTAGAAATTACTATATTTTTCATATTTTCACATAAAAGCTTTCTGGTTTCACGCCCGGACTACGCACGCAAGTCGATACACATAATATGAAGCTGCTCATGACCTCAAACTGTCGAACCGGACGCAATTGCTCAAAACGACCAGTTGGGTCGTTACAATTTCGGAATCAAATTGTATCTCGTCTCGAATTTTTACGTTCGTCATGGTCAAGTACCCAAAATTGTTCGGCCAGATTCGGTACGGATCCCATACCCACACCCATACTAGTGTCGTGTCGACAAGAATGCGGCACCTAAACTGCCATGTCGGAGCAACTTAGCTGTTCAATATTGTAGATGACTAAGATATACATTTTAAGCAATGCACTAGGCATAATCAATAACCTTATCTGTTAGACATTGACAAATTCAGCAAATCAGTTTAGGAATTGGAAATAAAAAACTTTTGTGATGTAATAACATTTAATTCTGAAAAGATTGCATACCTGACTCTGCTATTTGTTGGAACTTCAGCTCAATCTTTGACAATTGGTCATACGTTATTTTCATCAATTCACTTCTATATGAATGCAAGTATTCAAGTTTCTATCCTTTGGATTTGGATTTGAAATTGTCAAAATTAACTTCTGTTACAATTTGTATCACCATGAACAAAAATGTGATCTTGAAAAAAAGAATTTCTCAACTATACAAGTTCAATTGTTGGGATCAGTATCTACACACGATTTTCTTCTCTTTCGAATAACATAGTATCCAATCCCTCCCAAAACAAGTAACACAACAACTCCATCAACCACTCCTACCACAATTGGAATCCATTTTTTCCAATGAGAATGTTCACCATGATCTTGATCAGTTCCTTTTGGTACCTTAACCATATAACTTAATCTTCCATCCCTTTCAATTTGTTTAACTCCTCTCACTAGTCCATACGAATAGCATTGTCCGGATTTTGTCGGATCGTCCTCAGAATCATCGACTGAAAAATGTAATGCTGCAACACATGTACAATTATTCAAGCACAAATTTGCACATACTTCTTTGCTAACATTGACCTTATAAGGATTGCTTCTTAATACACTCGTAACGCCTTGTAACTCTAGCATTTGGGACTCATTTCTGCCGCATAATCCCTCAGTTACATTCTCAGCACAATCAGAAAGCAAACCATCTCCTCTTTTTATTAGCCTTATGCAAGAACACTCTTCTGAAAATGTACAAATACCATAAGGTCTACATGCCAAAGGAAGATCACAAGTTGTGTTTAGTGCTTGATATGAAGCTTCAAACTTTCCTTTCTCAGCTGAGTAATAGTAAAATCCCAAGTTCCCTGTGTTATTCCCCAATGCTAAAAATCTTACAGGCTCTGGCTTGTCCGATTTTATCCGTCCAATTCTATGGTTTTCGTTGTTGAATATCTCCAACGCGTTTGAAGTTAATTCGACGTATGTAATATTTAGGTCATTCAATTCCAAAGGTGTATATTCCCAGTACGAGTACTTCGATTTTCCAGAGTACAAGTATAATGCAATCTTGTCATACTGAATTTCAAATGAATATGACAAACTAGAATTGCTAGGGAAAGAAGTTAACCGAGTTCTTGAGCTAAGTCTCTGGCCCCAAAGCATAATATTTGTTGGGAAATTGAAACTTTGCCATTTTATCATGTTCAATGCATCAACTAAAACCAAATTACCTGACCCAAGTAAATGTAGCCTCTGCAGCAGAATCAAATATCAGACAACCAAATATTAGCATTCACTATTTAGTTTCACAATGGCAACTCACACTTTGGCTCTTTTGTTGTTTTACCTCAAAAGACATACTTCCTTGGTTTCAATTTATATACTGGTGTTTGACTAGTCACCGAGTTGAAAAAACAAAAAAAGAAAGATTTTTTAGCACATACCAAAAGTACCTATAGAACTTTTCTTATGACTATAAGAGCATGTCAGAAAGAGTACGACCAAAAGCTTAAGTTAAAAGAGTTTCCAAATATAGAAATATTTCATTTTTTCTCAAACGTATTAAAGAAAGGGTGTCATATAAAATGGAACAGAGGGAGTAATAACTAAGTGATTTAAAACTCTACACGTTTGGTTTTTTGCCTCAAAGTTGCAGAAGCAATGTTATTTTGAATAAGAAAAGGCAATTGTTTGTTGCATACACAATTTAGTCAAAATCCATACAATACTTGTATGTGTTTTGGACTAAAAGCCAAAAAGAGGAAAACTTCAAATTCCTCTAGAAGATATTCATAATTACCTTCACACCTTGTCCAGAAGTTCCAGCTTTCCATCCAACTTTATCATCTTGACCTTTCAATTGTAAATCTCCATATTGAGTGAGCTGAAGTGCACATTTGTCTATTGTGTAAAACTGTGATAAATGACCAGAACTCCAAACCTTCACATCTCCCAAAAAAACATCAAGTGAACATGTGTATTTCTCATTAATGGCTTCAACACTGATTGCAGCTCTAAAATTTGGTGTCATTTGGTTGTCAGTTTCCATTAAAAAAGCCCTGCCTATGAAGCCTTTGCTATATGTTGTTGGTATAGCAAGACTTACTTGATAACCAATGTGAACATTGGAAGTGCAATAACCATGAGCTAACCAGTAAATGAAAAAAACAAGCACATAGATTTTCATGTGTGGAATATATGTCACTATATGTTTTTCACATCAGGTATTGTTGTTAGGTTTCTTTGTTTGGAAAGTATAAACAAGATGAAAGTGGAAAAAAGTTTTGGCATGGTTATAATATCATAGAATTAGTAGTGTACCCCCTCTCCTTCAGAAAGTGGCTTAACTTTCAAGTGCAAATCCTTTAAAAATATATTTCTCCATTTTTTTATGTCTTAAACATGTTATGACATTTCTGTAAGTTATATGAGGATATCGTTAAGGGCAAACTAAGAAGTTTAAAATTAAAGAATTTTTAAATATTAAAATATGTCATTCTTTTTGAAACTAATTAAAAAAAAAATAGTCCAACACTCATAATTTATGAAAGAAAGCTCTTTTAAAATCCTCCACTGTACAAATAAAGACTTCTTAAAGTACATGTTACTGTACTAAGACCAGAGTTGATGTTAGAAAATTGTAGAAGTTAAATTAGCTGTCAAAAAGGTTAATCCTTATTTTACCCTCCCTCCGATTTAAATTAAATGAGGTACTTTTTTTTTAATATTTTTCAAAATAAATGACATATTTCTAAATTTAGAAATAATTCAACTTTAAATTCTATATTTTACCCATTTTTACATTTAATGAGAAATTTTTATAACCACACAAATATCATGACCCCACAAATATTCACGTCTTTTTTTTTTCATTCTTAAATTTGGTGCCTAGTCAAACTATCTCATAACTTGAAATGGATAGAGTTGGTAAATGATTAAGCAGTGAATGTTTGTACTAAAATGAGACACCATTCAGGATATCTGGGGCCTGGGCAGGTAGTAATGGATTGTGAAAGGGACCCATAATTGCCCTCCTTGTTTTCTTGGATTACTTTTTGGTTTGTGCCTTTTGGCATGCCACCCTTTTGAGTTTTTTTGTTTTTTTGGAGTGAGATAAAGGTCTGTGGATGCCACATGGGGTCAATTGTGAATTATATTTTCATGCCCACAATCTTTGCTGACGATTTTGTGGCGTGATACTGACATAAATCTCCGAAAATTGAAAAAAATAAAAGAGAGGAAATTTTCAAGAAAAGGAATTAGAAAATCCACTTTGCAATACTTAGATGAATATTTATATTATAGGAATCACACTTAAAGTATAAGTTAAAAGAGTGGTCAAACTGTCACTTTTGGAATCAGTCTTCACTAAAATTCTCAGTTCTTATTTTTCCTATGGGCCACTTCATCTCAAGAAAAGTTCAAAAAGAAAAAACTAATTCACTAGAGCGAGGGGAAAACCTTTACAAAGTTTGTTTCACTTTGTATACATTAACAACAAAATAAAATCAAGTCAAACGAATAAGGACAGAGGAATAAATTCGTATTCACCAACTTTCATATCATATGGTATTTGCCTCGGAAACTTCTCGGTTATTAAAAAAAAAAGTGTGCTAATCTCGATAATGTTGACAATTTACAGATAGGACGATGAAGTTGGCTCATCTTTTTCTCATTTGTTGAGCTGGGCAGAAGTTTTCATGTTGTCATTAAGGAATTTCATCGGGGTTTGCATTCAATTTGGTGGCTTGAGGTCAAAAAGAACTTTATATGGTGCATTCTAATTTGTGTGTATGGTCGATCTTGATTTTCAAGTGGTTCAGAATTGATTTTGGAAGGAGGATTCATAATTAGGAAGCTTTAAATTGCAAGAGTTGATCAAGTTTGACTTTTGTGTATGTGATATCGGATCGGAGTTTTGATAGTTCCGTTAGATTTTGGATGGTGATTTTGGACTTAGGCTATAATCGGATTTGCATTTGGATGTTTCTAGAATGTTTTGGCTCTAATTGGCGAATGTTGGCAATTTAAAGGTTTGAAAAGTTCATAAGTTTGATCGAATATTGGCATTGGGATGTTTCTAGAATGTTTTGGCTCCAATTGGCGAATGTTAGCAATTTGAAGGTTTGAAAAGTTCATAGGTTTAACCGGGAGTTGAATTCGATGTTATCGGCTTCGGATTGTAGTTCCGGGAATTAGAATAGGTTCATTATATCACTTGGAACATGTATGCAAAAATTTGAGGTGATTCCGAGTTGTTTAGATGTGTTCGGGATAAGTTTGAAATTTAGAAACTTTAAATAGTTCATTAAGCTTGATTTGAGGTGTGTTGTGTGATCTTGATGTTGTTACGGGTGATTTGAGGCCTCGAGTAGGCCCGTGTTATGTCTTGGGACTTATTGGTATATTCGAACAGGGTCCCGAAGGGCTCAGGTGTATTTCAAATTAATTTCGGATCATTTAGGAGTGTTTTGGCGGGTCTGATTTTGGTGTGATCACACCTACAGAATTTTAGGCATAGGTGCGGAACCGTAGATGCGGTCTATGAGGCGCATATGCGATAGGGACGCATATGGGAAGCTTTCCTTGCACCTGCAATGTAATAGAAGCGGAAGACCTTCTGAAGGTGCGAGAGGTCGGGATTTTATGTGATACTCGTAGAAGCGAGGTTTGGTTGCAAAAGTGACGTCGCAAAAGCGGTTGGCGGTCGCATGTGCGAAAGCGCTAGGCAGAACATGTTATATTCGAGGTTTGAGCTGTTTTATTACATTTTGAGTTCGGAAGCTCGATTTTGGACGATTTTTAGGAGATTTCAACCATTTGGATTGGAGTAAGTATTTTTTGACCCGGATTTGATCATTTTACATGATTCCATCTTTGATTTTAGCATTTGATTAATAAATCTAAAAGAGAAATTGGGAATTTTCGTCAAAACTTTTCGAAAGTGAATATTTTAGATTTGAACATCGATTTGGAGTCGGATTTGAGTAAATTAGTATGGTTGGACTCGTATTCGAACGGGTTATCGAAATTTATGAGTTTTGTCGAGTTCTGAGGTGCGGGCAAGTTAAAATTTTGGTTGACTTTGAATATTTAATTAAAGATTCGACCTTTATCATTTGCGTTTGTTTTTTATGGTATTGTTTGATATTTTTGAGTTGCTTTTGGCTAGTTTCAAGCAGTTCGGAGGTTGATTCGTGCAAGATGGTGCTTCTAGAGTATTGTTTTAGCTTGCTTGAGGTAAGTGTCTTATCTAAACTTGGTTGAGGCACTAATTGTGTGAGTTATTTGTGATAGATACGTGCTATGGGTGGTGCACATGTACGGGGTTGAGCCCATGTGTGTGTGTCGTGCTCCCTTTTTTCCCTTCCTTTTTTTATGGGGAAGAAAAGGTCCGGGTTTCGACATTTATAGGGGGTAATAACTCATTTCCTTTTGGAAATTGGGTATTTTTGAAGAGTCGCCACCTAATGGGTTATGGTGCGTTAGGTCACCTAGAGCGATTAACTCTTGGATTGGCTTGCATTACCAGAGATATAGGGTAAGGGCTCGAAATAACCTTGAGGGGAAGGTGTTAGGCACCCCTCTCGGTCCACAACTGTGGGTCCCGCCTGAACTTATACTTATGAATTAGTCTTTTAACGAATAAGTAATATAAACATATAATTGCAAATAAAGCATGTTGGACATTGTATGACTCAGATAATAAGACAAGGAATTTGAACAAGTTGTATACATAAAAAGAAAGTTTTAAGCAAAAGGAGTTTGGAAAGGAGGAGTCCTAGGTTGGTTAGCCTACAAGATCACCCCATGCAATGCCCGATAAACACTCCTCAATGAGGGGCTACACGTGACATTAGCGCGTAGTCATCATATTTATATCTACCCATTCCCACCCCTTGGTCATAGCCTAAAGCGTTCTAATTACCTTGGCAGTGTCCTATGCGTGCACTACCTGTCCATTCCTTGTGGTCCTGGAGGTATTTTAGGACCTCTAAATCTGGGCAGTTCTAGACAACCCCTAAGGTGTTTAAAAGGAGAAAATTCTAGGCGACAGGCAAGAACACGTAGGACTAAACATATAAAGGCAGGAAAGAAGCAGTTAAGAGGCCCAGGTTTACCTCTACAAATAGCGCACATAAGCAGCACGTCTCAAACACAAACAAGAGGTATTTTATTAGACATGATCCTAAGACATGATGTCTAAGTGAATAGCAGAACACAACAATATGCAGCTTTGTTTTACAAACTCAAAAGCAGGAGCCCTAATCAGTTTGCCTACTGATTTTTGAAACATGTTAATCATTAAGTAATAAACACAAAGAGGCAGTTTCTAGTTTATAAGAGACTTGATTACCTAAGGCTTGCCTAGGCGTCAGATAATGCACAATTGTTACCAGAACCATTAGAGTGATAAAGGAGTTATTTTACCCTAAAAGCATGTTGTTCTAAGTGTTACAAATACATGAATTATTACCAGTTTATTTAAAATAGGATAATCAAATGTGAAGTTGTTTTTACATCTTTCATAATCAGTAGTTTACAATAGGTGTGACTGAGAAAGTACGAATGAGATCCTAAAGTATGGTATCTAATATGCACGTATAAATGCAGAATGATTACAAGATACGCAGAATTCTTAAAGCATGATTTCTAATATGCACGACATGATTGCAGAGTTTCCTAAAGCATGATTTCTAAATGCATAAAAAGGTTACAACAATGTAGAGCATGCTGTCAAATGTGCAGGAGTAGCAGTTTTATTTTAATACCTAGAAACATGATTTCTAAGTGATAGCAAGAATGTCAACATGAGATGCTGAAACAACATACATAAAAAAAACCTAGGTAGCATGGTCTATGATATGTTTTGCACATGTTGGTCCTAAACATGGATTCTATTGCGCATATAGGAAACGTAAACCTAAAGCATGATTTCTACTCCTTTTATAACATGCATAGCTACCCTGCCATTTTCACTATCCATCCCCAGCATATGTTTACAACAAATTATTACAGGCCAATATCGAATGAATTACATAAGTAGATAAGAAAAATAAGAAGTTATACTATAGGGAGCCTGGAAGTAGGCCCAGATTTCCAAAATTTCCAATACCAGATTGCCTCACAGCTTTTCACATAATCCGAGTGTGTTAGAATTCCCTAAGGACCTCAAGGGATCCCGGGTAGTGCTCACACCTAGATTTCATAGTCATAGTTGAGTAAATGCAGTGTAGAAGGGCCAACTCTAATGTATTAGAGTTTAGAGGGATCTCATGGGGATCCCTAAGCAGTCACACATTAGAGGGGCAGAACTTAAAACCTAAGAGTAGATGTGAAAGTGCTTGAAAATATTTAAGCAGGGACACAGTTTGAAAAGAGAC